AAAAAAAAAAAAGAACAGCTACTCAGCAAAAAGCAAAAATTAAAAATTAATCTTCATTCCATATGTGGGCTGTTACCAAATTTTGCAAGGATGTTTAGCAGAAGCATTCCTCTTTTTGTTTTGCCTCATAAACAGTGAAGAAGGAGAAACATTGCCTAAGACTGAGATTTGGCAAAGGAATCCGATGAAAACCGTCAACTCTGTGCCACAGGGTGATGTCCTTGAGGGCGCCTGGTCATTGTATGATTAGCGAGTTTTCTGCTGTCCTGCCTCAGTCTTCACGCAAAACTCGGCTTCTCGTAGCTCATACATGCTCATCCACCCAGCAGCAGCCTCTCAGGGCAAGAAAGGACTCTAACCCTGAGGATCCCACCCCAGCACCCTTTAGTCGAAGAAAACGTACCTATAAAGCAAACCCACGGAAAGGAAAATGAAGAGCCAGCTAGCTATTCCCTTTACAAAAGAAGTTATTTCTTTTTTTTCTTTTCTTTCGTTTTTTCAAGGGTTTTTTTTTTTTTCTTTCATTAGTTACATTTAACAGATGGAAAAACTGAGACTTGGAAAGGTTAAGGAATTTCACCGATTTTATACAGAAAAGGTGGAGCCAAGGTTTTTTGTTTTTGTTTTTTTTAATGCCTTTACAATGGATTTCTTTTCTTAAAATGTGACTAGCACACAAATTGGCAAGTGCCCTTGACTGGGCAGAGGGTGCGATGCCTCAACAAGAGGGAGGGTAAAGGTAGTGTGCTTACAAAACACAGCGTGCCTGCAAAGAGCACTGGACTAAAGTGAGAAAGTCTGGGTCCTCGTCCCAGCTGGGTCACTAATGAGCTATGGGACGGATGCAAGTCACTTCACTTCTTTGGTTTTGGTCTCCTCTCCCAGAGATGGAGAATCAATAATAAAAAACAAGCATTACCTACTTCCCGAGTTAATGGGGAAACCAAATGAATATGGAAGTATCAGAAAATACCAAGAAGACCTGTATTACATATACACATGTAGGAAAATAAGAACCACCTAGAAAATTACCAGCATCCATTCTTGCTCAAACTACATGCATTTCCTCTTACTAATAAAGGGATCAATTGGAATGCAAGAGATTTTTGTGAATCAGGATGAACACACAGCTCTTGGGGAATGTGCACTGCTGTTCTGAGGACATGTGACCCACTCAGGAACAGGCAGCCATGTTTGGGTGTCCTGGGACAGTCACACAGACATGGATCCACTCCAGCTCTACAGGGGATCAAGCCCTAAGCCTATTACTGTATGTTGACCGGACACTAATAAGATGCTAGGAGTGCCCAGAACACTCTGAACACCACTATGCCACAGGACAACATAGGTAGCCAAGTGTGAGAAACGTGCTGGAGATATAGGTCACCTTCCTGGTTACTTACAGGTGTCTCCTTCCCCATCCTACCAGGTCCGGATAAGTTCTTCTAGCACCCTTGCCGGAGGACAGCCGTTAAATGTCTTCAACAAATCACCGTCCCTCCAGGAAATCCAAAGAGGAAAATACCAGGACAAATCCTAACTCCACGCTGGACGAGAGTTGCTAGTGCTCTCCTCAGTGCGCCCTTGGCTGACCCAAGTCTACACTGCAGAGTAGAGCCCACTGTGAGGCCAACCGGCCCCTGTTCTCTCTCCCATTTCCTACCCGTCACATTCACCTGTTCTAGAAGTGGAATAAGTCCCTCAAACTCTGGCCAGAAAGAGCATCGTGAGGTCGAACAACTGCAGGGATGACCAGAACAATCGAAGAAAACATAGTACCTGGAAAGATCTGCGTGGATTCACAGACCTTGTCGGAAAAGCCAGTGCGGGAGGAGGGGCCTTACAGAGCAAACCACAGGGACAGCTGATTGCCCAGCAGATAGTACAATGGGGCTCAAACTTCAGTGCGTATTGCAATCACCCAGAGGGTGTGTGAAAACACAGAAACCCAGGGTTTCTGAGTCAGTAGCTGACGCTGATGCTGGTCCAGACACCATACTTGAAAAATCACTGTCACGGTAAATGGGCAAGAGCTGCCGGGTCTGTCATTCTCCCTGGGGCAACTTCAGATCCTGATTCATCCCCCTTCACCTCCCAAACGGAGCCTCAAGAAAACTCAGGATAGGAATTAAACAGCCATCCCTCCCTCTCCCGCCCCCCTGCCTTTCCCATACACACACCTATGCTGCTAATGGATGAGGAGAACAATTATCAACCCATTCCTGATAAATACCACCCAGCGCTGAGTCTAGTTCTCACCTGTGTACAAGGTGATTTTGCAAAAGGAGTGAGCTACATACAGTGCAAAACGGAGGACACAGCCGTGCAGGAGGAGTGCTCAGGAGCTCTCCCGGTCCAGTTCTCTGCCCTGCTGCATGATCCCTCGGTCCTGGGATGACAGTGCCACGGGGACGGTGCCAGGGAAATGGTGTGACCTGGTTTCCTCCTCACTCATTTATCCTGATGCGCTGCCACAATGCACTGCGACTGCCCGCTGAGGATGCACTTCATGTCACTGAACTGTTGCCCTGCCAGGCTCGCTGACAAGCCAGTGCAAAGGAAAAGTAGCTGGTGGCCACAAACATACTACATGTCTGGCGGGTGGCAGGGCACGATCCCTCAAGACCAGGATCAGAGGATTTCTGACGGAGAGGAGACCACTAAAAATATTTCTTTCCTTCCCAAAGCTGATTACATGATACACTACACTATTTTACTAACAGCAGGAGTTACTGCTACAATCATATTGTTTTGTTTTATGGGGGGGGGCAGTTAACGGAAGTTCCTACAGAGAGCGATGTTGTGAATAATGTAAACACGCTGGGGTAAGAGCCCTTCCTACAAGTCTCTTCGCCTGGGGTTCAAATGGGAAAATCTGGCCAGTATTCACCACATGTCAGCCTGACCTTTCCTGGCTACGGGACAAGAGAGGTTACATACATCTGGGGCTGCAGTTGTGGGCCTGAACACCAACTTCAGGCTAAATAAGGAAAAAGAATGAGGAGTGGTTCATTCACAGCATTTTGGTGAATATACACAGTGTATAGTGTTTGCAAATAATTGGCCTTTCAGATGATTTTGTGCACACAAATGGGCATATTTGGTGAGACAAATGTCACTCTCCCTCTCATTAAAAAAAAAAAAAAAAATCCAACTAGCTCTTTCTCATATGCAAAACTGTGCAATAGTTCCCAGGCCTCTGAGCGCCTGATCTGGTATAAACCCCACGAAGTCTTCTGAGTCAAACAACATTCTCCAAAGCAGTAACACCAACGTAATCTCCACTTAGCCCCAAAATTATGAACTGACCTCAGATATACCACGTTCAAGATATGGGCCATAAGCCCAAATGGCTGTATTCAGAACATTCTAGAGCACGAGAGCTCAGCCACAGGTGACAGTATCGGCTGGGGCCTCAAGAACGCTGATTGGATAATCTTGCCCTCTCCCTACCCCCCCCCCAAAAAAGTCCACTCATTTGCATGCACAGACGAGGCCATGCAAGAAGTGCCTTCACACCCCAGGCCGCCGGGGGTTCCCGCCCTCACCTGTTTTCCAGGAGTGTCATGCACACCACTTCTCGCACCCCAGGGTTGTTGGCCTTCTCCACTGAGCAGCCCTGCAGGTTCCAAGTGGCCAGCCTCAGCACTGGCCGCCCATCCCTTGTGCCTCCGAAGGTCTCCACGGAAGGGCGGGTGGAGATGATCTGGGTGGGCCCCCCTGGTGGCAGGTCTAGGTCCTCACTCTGCAGGCTTAGTGAGGTAGGGCTGGGGTGAGGCTTGGCAGTGAAGGTCAGGCCTCCGTTGGTGTGGGTAGACGGGGGCCTGGACCTCTCTGCAAACAGCTGGTGCCGGATCCTGTCGAGGAAGGCAGCATTGATATCGCCCATCCTCACTAGGTCCTCCACGCTGCGGAAGGGCCCATGCTCGCGGCGGTAGTCCACAATGCTGACAGCCATCTTCTCCGTGAGGCCTCGAACGCTCATCAGCTGAGCCGGGGTGGCCGTGTTGATGTTGACACGCGGGGTGAGGGGCCCGGCCGTGGCAAGGTGGTGAGGTTGCTGCTCCGCCAGCAAGTCTCGCCGCAGGGAGCTGGGAGAGTGCTGCGCAGAGCTGCCCTTGCTGCCCACGCAGATCTCAAACTTGACCTGCTCCAGTTTGGTGGCACCCACGCCGCTGACCAGTGCCAGGTCTTCCACCTTTTTGAAGCCACCGATGTACTCGCGGTACTCCACGATGCTGCGTGCCACTGCACGGGTCACACCAGGCAGGGTCATCAGCTCCTCCTCGGTGGCCGTGTTGATGTTGAGCCGCTCCTGATTCACCAGGATGTTGCTGAAGTTGCAGGCAGCGCTGAACTTGCGGTTATGGGACAGGTCCGAGGGGTCCCGCGGTATGGAGCGGTGGCAGCCCAGCGTGCTCCCCATGCCGGCCAGGGTCAGTGGCCCGGGAAGGCCTCACCCCCACAGAAGAACTCTCTGGCTAGGGAGGAAGCCCAACAACCTTACTGGCACAGAAGGAGGGAAGGTTCAGGATGCAGGGAATGAAACGGTTACCAAAGACAAACGCTAAATCTCCATGCCCAGGGTGTCCAAAAGTACCTTTCACTTGGCCACCTGGAAAACAAATTAATAAGCACACACATCGATTGAATCAGTTAATCAGTTTGCATTGGCACTCCCTAACTAGAGCAGTTTTAACCAGGACTCCCAGGCTGATGGCCCGTCCGTGAACTCCTGAACACGCACGAGGCTGGCCCATATGGATTTTCCTCTGGAGAGATGTGGTTTTTGTCACGCTAGGGTCCAAAAAGGCTATCAGCTGCTTCTCTTGCAAAGAGACCTATCCTCATCAGGCCACATCTCTGGTCTCTGCCTCTCTCACCTCTCGCAGCCATGAGGCCATCCCCCCTTAGGTCGCCCCCACCTGGGCCCGGGCAGAAAGGAGAGAGCATCTCCCACGCCCACCCCGCCTCCTGACAGTCAGCACCACCTGCAACTTGGGAATCCCGCCCTTACTAGGGTAGGTACCGAGAAGCGGTTTTATCGACCCCCACCAGACCCGCCGCCGGTCCCCGCGCCCCACCTCTCCGCTGCTCCCCCGGGGCGTCCTTCCACCTGCGGCTCGGAAGCCTGAGCCCAACCCAGGACTGCGCGGGCCCCCCGCCTCCAATCCTGGTGCCCGTGCGTGTGCGGGTCAGTGGCTGGGCCTCCTCGAGCCGCGCGTCCCGGCTCTTTCTGCGGGAGAAACTCTCAGAGTCGCTCTCCCAGAGCCGGCAGGAGCTGCAGGGCTGCGCGGAGGCGGCAGCGGCGGCGAAATCCGACCGCCGTGGCTGCACCAAGTCTTGAGGCTGCACCAGGACTTGCGGCGTCGCCGCAGTTGCGTTGATCGAGGCGAAAAGTCCTGCGCCCGACTCGGACGCGGGATCCGCCAGGACCGCGTCGGTGCCCAACACCAGAGCCACAGCTCCAGCTCGCCGTCCGTGTCAAAGCCAAAGTCCTGGCCGCGCCGCCCGCGCCTCCGCCGGCACCACGGCCACGCCTCCCCCCGCGCGGCAACTCCCCCCGGGACTCCAGAGGGAACGTGGGGGCGGGGCCCGAGCGCCAGACCTGAGCCCGAGAGAGCGGAACCCGAGAGCGCTGGGGCGGGGCCCTGGAGTGCGGGGGCGGGGCCCTGGAGTGCGGGGGCGGGGCCAGAACGCGAGAGGGTGGAGTGCAGAGCCGGGGAGTGTGAGAGGCGGGGCCCTGCTGCGCGGGGGCGGACAGAGCGCGTGGGGGTGGAGATGGAATGCGGGAGCGCAGGGGCGGGGCCACGGCGGGAGGGAGTGGGCCCCGGGGACGCGGAGGCGGGATTTAGGGACCGAATGGGCGGGGCGGATGCTCCGGCGGCAGCGGCGGGTCACACCGAGGTTGCCCTGGGTCCTGCAGCTCCTGAGTGGAGGTTGCTACCAGAGACCCAGGGCTGGATATGCGGGATGGAGGGTGTTTAATCTTGCCCGAGGCGAGACCTGCCAAGCTGCTTTACGGCAAGAAGAGCCCCAAAGAAGAGAGGGGCGCCCAAGACGCAAACACTACCAGGCCACCAGCCTGAGTTTACATCATCTTTGGGGCGTGGGGCAGGATCTGGGCACTCCTTGTGGCGAAGGAGACCCTGCATGTCAGGGGCCTCGCTCAGTTCTGCATTCGCATGAGAACGTTCCCGGGGGGCGGGGGGAGCTGAATGGGATCTTTTTAACTTCTGCTCCCCACTTTCCACCTCCTCTTTTCTTCCACTGGAGAATTACCTTTGCACTGCTCACAGAGAGATGTCCTCAAACAATGTTAGTAACGCACCGTGCTGCTAGGAGAGGGCATGCACCACAGATTATTTAGAGATGTGTTCGAAGACGTCACTTGATAGGGTTGCTTGTTTGAATGTATAGCGCTCTGAGTAAATAGCGATATGTTTCTCTAAGTATTAAATCTAATCATTAAGGAGACTGAAAATGCTAGTTGGAAATGGAGATTGCTTACCAAAATTCAAAACAGTTTTTGGATCATACCACTAAATGACAATTTAGTTAAAGATTAAAGAGTCTGCTGAATTACAGCGGATACACGTAGCTAGAGTATTCGATTAAACAAACCACGAGGTGATAGTTTTGAATACTTTGACCCTGGACATTTAGTGTCCTCTGAAGTTTCATCTCCCAACCAATGTGACCAATGCTCCTGCTTTAAATTCCCAGGGCTAGGTCAGCAAAAACAGTAACTCTTAGGGAAGGCAGAAAGTACTCCAGATGTGAAATGAGAGGCAGCCAAAGCTTGACAAAATGCTATTGCCTTTCTGAGGCACATTCCCCTACTGTGCATACTAGTCAGGACTTAACTGCAAGTGACAGATATCCAAGTTACACTAGCGTAAACAAAAAACAACAAAAAAAGAGGGGTGTCCGTGTTGTTGTGTGCAAAAGTTAAGGAATGGCGCTTATGTCAAGCATGGCTGCATCCAGCTCAAATGATGCCATCAGGACCTGGTCTGACTCCCTCCTTCTATCCCCACCCCGCAACTCCAGTACTAAACTACATCATGCCACTCATTTCCTCCTGTGATCCTGTTGGCGATACGAGAAAAAATGTTCAGGAAAAGCACAAAAATCCCTTGGAGAGGAGGAAAGTCTTTGTTGAGCAGAATGCCTTGATGAGCCTTTGTGGCTGTGGACAGACAGCCTGGGGGCATGACCAGTTGGAATAGAAGTAGAGAAATCACATATTTTCTTACACAAACCAGGACACTTTACAGGGTAAAAGGGACACTATAACGTCACTGGCACAGCAGGCCTAACCTGGTTAATCTAAGCATATGTTAACCTGGTTCATCTAAACATATGTGCCCCCTTGGTAGAAATGAATCCAAGAGCTGGCAAAACCTCTGTGCATTGAAACAAACAAAACCACAACAACATGATCAAATTTAAAATGACTGGCCATACCAAATGTTGATGAGGATATAGAGCAATTGAAACTCATACGTTGATGGTAGGAGTGTGAGACAGTCTAACCACTTTGGAAATCAGTCTGGCAGTTTCCTAAAAAGTTAAACACTCATCTACCATATGACCCAACCACTCCACTCTTAGGTTTTTACCAAAGAGAAATGAGAGCACGAAACCCAGAGACTTGTACATGAATGTTCTAGGAGCTTTGTTAAAGCCAAAAACCAGAAACAACCCAAATCCACCAGTAGATGAGTAGATAAACAAGTAGTGGTATATGCATATGATGTAATACTACCCAGCAATAAGGACAAACTATTAATACACACATTATTGAAGAATCTCGAAATCATGATACTGAACGAAAGAAGCCAGGCAAAAAAATGAGAGAACATATTGCTTGATTCCATTTATACAAAACTCTAGAAAATACAAGCTAATCTATATGCAGAGAAAGCAGATCAGCACTTGCTTGGGGTTGTGATGGATGAAGGAGTGGATGAAAGGGCATAAGGAAAGTGGGGGGGGGGTGATGGAAATGTTGTTGAAGAGGTCATGTTTTCAGGAGTGTGTGCATGTCAAAACAGAGAATTGAACCCTTTAAATATGTGCAGTTTAGTGTTCTTCAATTATGCCTCAACAAAGTTGAAAAAAACCTTCAAAAGATAAAAAGGACTGCTCTTTGAACTAGAAGAGGAAGAAAAAGAAGAGGAGGATGAGGAAGAGAAGAAGGAAGAAGGCAGGATTATTTGGGGAGGAGGAGTAGATGAGGTGTAAGGAAGGTGAGGAGGAGGGAGGTGAAGGGGAGCAAAGAGACCCAGGAAGAAGTTGAGTCTGGAGTGAACAGAAGAAAAGACCAGTGAACATGCCCAGTTAGGGATGGGGCCCCAGGAGAGGGGATACCAGAGACTTTAAGACTAATGTCATGTCTGACAGTCTGTTTTATCTGCTGTGCTCTTCTCTGATGTAACCCCCACACTTACCACCCTGCATCTTTAATAAGAAAGGTAATGGCTTTGAATGAATGCTGTTCAGGAGAAGTCAGGTAGGGGAGCTGAGCCTCTCTGGGTAGATACGGGATAGCAAGAAGGGAGCAGCTGAAATATGCAAGATGAGAGAAAGATCCAGGATTCACTGGAACAAAATCCCAGTCAGAGTGACCTGGCGACATGTCTGCCTTTCACGAATCCCCACTGAGATTGGGAACTTGGCTGGGGGCCCTGCTACCCAGGGGATGGAAGTTTGAGCGGTGTCATGTGACCATCCAAGGGCAGGGAGCTAGGGCCTGGCTGACATCTGTGTTACAGGAGTCTGGCAGAGGGCAAGGGTCCCATCATTCCTGCTGAGCGCCACAGCCTGTGGCCACTGGTCCTTACAACAGAGATCTCACCTGGGGCCTTGGTCAGAGGGACAGAGTGATGGAGGTCACTGTCCTGCTTCTTAGTTGGTTTCAAAGGTAAAAGGTGGTTCAGGGGAAGAGAGAGGTGGTGGAAGGGAAGAAGGGAAAGCAGTTTTCGATGTTCAGTTTCAACATCCATGGCTCTGGAGATATGGTGATGAGGAAAACACATGATTTCTCTATTCCCAGAGCTGAGAGGCCAGCAGAATGCAGACATTAAATCAGTAAGAGCAGAGCATGTTAGAATAAAGGAAAAGGGAAGAAGATACAGCTGTAAATTAAAAATAACTGAGTGTAGGGGACTTCCTTGGGAGGTAAGGATGACAACTGACAGATGAATAAGGAAAGATGCCCCAACCCCCAAAACCTCAGTCCCTGCAGAGAGGCCCCATTTTCCTAGTCAACAAGGGGTTTGGCCAGGCTACTGACAGCCACAACAGCACCAACACTTGTGCAATGACAGAACTAGATTCTGTCCTGAGTATCTGAGATGTGACCTCAACAGTAGGTTTGTCACTCTCCACCACAGCAGGCTTCTGTGCTCCCAAACTGATGAAACACAAGCCATTGGCAGTTCACTTGAACTTTCTAAATCAGACCCTGCCCCCCGAGAGTCATGGCTTTTGATGGCCCAGAATGACCACAGATGGACCCCATGGACAGTGGCCATGGAAACACCTTCAGCCTTCAAATTTCTTCTGCTGCTCTGCGTGCAGACCCTCGGCCGTGAACCTCACCATGAGGAGCATTCTCACCGGGTTCTCTAAATGAGTCTGTTGCGCTGCTATACAGCAGGGAGTGGAAGACTGTGACATGGGTGATCCCCAGCCATGTTTCCCAGAACTCTCATCCCTGTGTGATCCCTTCCCGTGTTGACTCTGGGCTTGGCCATGTGACTTGCTATGACCAGTGGGACATTAACAAGAGGCAAGCAAGGATTTGATAAGCATTTGCCCATTGGGTCCTCTCCCCCTGGAATGTTTCCTCTTAGACTCTAACTGCCATGCTATAGGGAAGTTCTGGCTCTCCTGTTGTGGGAAGGGGCACCCCAGCCCACAATCAGCACTAAGGCCTCACATGGGTGAGAGAGACCTTCTAGGACCTTCCAGCCTTGCCCAGCCACCAGCTAGATGAACCCACAGGAGCAAGCTGAGGAGAGACCACAAGGAGCAGAGAAAACTACCTAGCTGAGCCCAGCCAACCTACAGGATCATGAGAGAGAATACACTGTTATAGGCTTATAAATACTGCAAAGGTTGCCTCCGAGCAATATTGATTATACAGATGTGATCCTCAGGCCTTATTTTTCCAGCAAGAAAAGCCAATGTCATAGCTCCAAATGTAATCCCCTTTACAATTCGTTGACATCTGTCCCATTCTCAGAGTGGTCTCACCAGGCTTCGATTTCCCTCAAAGAAAGTGGTTTGAAGGCTTTTTTTCAATTGGATCACAAGAGAGTTTCGAAGCATTTAGGCTGCTCTCTTTTGAAGTGGTAGATGAGCGTCTCATGACAGCTGTAGCAATACAGCAAGCTGGGTTTTTAAACTGTTGTATTTAAACACAATAAATAAGCATTTTTGTTGTGTTTTTTTCTATAGCTCCGTTTCCCCTCCCCCCCCAGCCATGGAAGACAAGCTGGAGAAGAGCAGGGA